AAGAGAGATAGAAACATCAGTGATGAGAGAGAATCATTGATCAGCTGCCTCCTGCACATCTCCTATTGGGGATGGGGTCCACAACCCTCGCATGTGCCCTTGACTGGAATCAAACCTGGGACCCTTCAGTCTGCAGGCTGACGCTCTATCCACTGAGCCAAACCAGTTAGGACTTCCATTGATTTTTAGAGAGTGGAAGGGAAGGGGTTGGAGCCCAGGGGAAGGAATTGAACCCCGGACCCTTCAGTCTGCGGGCCAATGCTCTACCCAATGAGCCAAACTGGCCAGGGCCCCAAAAAAGTTTTAAATGATTAATACACTATGACCAAGGGCAGTTTTCCCAGGAATGCAGTACAGTTCTGTGCTGGCGCTCACTAGTACTGGCTCGTGAGAGCCAATTGTGTTCATTGTGTTCATGGGTTCCAAGCTCTGCATTCAGTGACATTACACCAGCAGCTTGGAACCTGGTGTAATGGGAGTATTTGCATCATAGAAATCAGCAAATGCTACAGAGAAGGCCTTTCCCCCATCAAACCCTCCTGCATTTTGCTCCAGAGCCCGTTGTTAAACATTTGCCAGCACACCATTGAATGTAAATATAATTTGACGATAGGAAAGAAGAAATGTGATCACAGCAAAAATGCTCGAAAAGCATTTGATGAAATTCTGCAGCCATTTCAAGTAAAGTAAAAATAGAAGGAAACTTTTAAACAGGACAAAAGGTATTTGTTTGAAGTTAACTGTGAACATTATATAAAACAGTAAAATATGGGCTCCATCCCCATTAAAGTCAGGAATAAGATAGGCTTATTTGTTTTATCTATCTATCTATCTATCTATCTATCTATCTATCTATATATCTGTATATGTGACTGTGTGTCGGTGTATATGTATATTAACATGTTAATCATAGGAATATTTAGGGTGATTGCTATTTCCTGTTTACCAGGTCCTGTCAGCATGTCATCAGTGTAATGGACCAGTATGGTGTTTTGTGGGGGGTGACAAGATGTTTGGAGTCCCTTGGGTTTATATTATGACAAAAAAAACAAGGAAGCTGTCATCACCCTGAGGCATGAACAGTAAAGTTAATACTCCTGTTCCTACTTCATAAATGCAAATATATTCTCATTTTGCTTATCAATGGGAATAACCAAAAGAGCATTTTCCACGTCAGTAGTTCCATATCAGGTGCCTGCTTCTGTCTTCATTTATTCCAGAGGAGATACCACATCTGGAATTTGCCATATTTTTGTCATCACCACCTGATTACATTTGTGATGATCTGTCATTTTCCCATGATTCATCTGAGTTTCGTAGGGGCCACAAGACTAGTTAGGAACATAACATAATAGGTCACTTGCGAAGTGGTGGGGCCCCGGCTATAGTAACAGCAGTGTCCATGAAGCAGAAGAGGCGTGAGAGGCATTACAAAGAAAGAATTGGCTGGATTTGTGCATCAATTCATTAGAGGGCATAAAAATGAGGGAAGAGTAGATGCTACTGCTAAGGTTTTAAGCCTGTTTAAGGGTCTTGGACCCCTAGAGAATTCATCATTTCCCACATTTCATCCATCCCTTTGTGTGGAAGATGCAAATCTTCGCCTGCATTGGTGCTTTTGCCCCCTTTCATCTACTGCCTGCTGGACATTTAACTTGATTGCCCTACTGTCACCTCAAACTTAGATTATCCTTAAGCAAACTCACCATCTTATCAGTCCACCCAGTCCTGAGTCACATGTTTCTGTCAACAGAGCATCTCTTAATTTCTATTATCTATGAGATCCTACCACATTTTTTGTCCATCTATATCAGTGGTTCTCAACCTTCCTAATGCCGCAACCCTTTAATACAGTTCCTCATATTGTGGTAACCCCCAATTTCATTGTTAGAAATTGAACGTAATTAAAGCATAGTGATTAATCACAAAAACAATATGTAATTATATATGTGTTTTCCGATGGTCTTAGGTG